TCTCAGATATATAATACAACATGATTCAGAACTAATATATATACAGTACCATAATGTGGACAACATGATAATAGTATCTTTCTTCAGCCATGTTAAAAAGGCTCATCTGGCTCTTAAATAAAGAAAAGATCTGGTACTAAATACATTGAACAGACATGATTTGTGATAACACTATCATAAACTTCAAATGCCTTACTACTTCTCATTGGCAACCCCCTGACCACTCGTACCCCTCTTTCCTTACAGAAAGCATTCCAGAAGCCTTGCCATTAAAACATTATTTGAAAATCCCAAATTCCAGCATCTAGCGCCCTCTAGTCAAACTCTAACGCAATTCCGACAGGAAAGCCCCCCCCAAAAAAAAACACAAGGAAAAAACACAACTGCACATCGTTTCCAAATGCAAGAACATCTGCCTAAAATAAAAATTTGGCTCACAATGTATCAGTGAAACTACTGCATGAGAACGACAATCCGGATCAAACCATGTCTGCAAATTATGACAATTTGTTGCAGTCTTGTTAAGGGCATATCATAAGGGCCTTCAGGTATGAAAACAGATAATGTATGTTCCAAAGAAAATGTAATCGGTGCAGTGTTTTCATATATATATATATCCAGAAACAACATACCAGCATCCAAACATGATAATGTGTGGCCTCAATATTAGCACTATATTCTCCCCTTTTAATGTTTTAAAAAAAAAAACATTTGAGTACAACAGACTGATTGGCAGGCAGACAGACCTAATTAAATGATATAAACTACTATATTAAACGTGATATGGGGGATCGATGTCTTTATAAGATAACTGCCGCAATAGTCCCTCCATTTTCTCTCTTCACAAAAACAGTTCAAAACGTTCAGTAGTAATGAGATAATACTGTGATTTAGCCATGCCCAGTCTGTATTCATGATGTATGTAACCACACATTATTCAATTCAAAAGCTTGCATAGTAAGCTTAAGTGTTGAAACACTAAAACCCAGTGACGAGTACTGCAACACTATCTTTTTAGAGTTTGGGCTGGGAGGTCAAGCATAATGCAATTACCCAAAGAACTAATTTGGTAACAAAGGCAGATGAGCATAACATGAATATGTCATGATATCAAATTGCACTTAAAGCTACATGGCCAAAATAGCCCCTTTAAATCAAGTCCGCCCCCTCGCTTCCACACACTTTTTTTCCTCGTCTCCTACAAGATTTCTGTCTAGACTTGCCAAGATGAGGCAATGGCGAATTATTCAGTCTGTCACGCAGGAATGTCAGTCCGTTTCCTTTACGTTTCACTCGTGAGAAAATTAGCATCGAGTTTTCGGTATTCATTTTTGTATATATATATATCGTTTGTCTTTTAGAACCTTACACATCACAATCGTTTGAACACCAGCAAACTCGCAAACGCTGTGCTTTTTTTAATATAAATATCGCATGTCTGACGTCAGTTGCTGGTAACTTTATACGTTGCTCCTATTAAAAACCCATTCGGCTCTATTTCTGGTATGTATGGGTACCAAACAGGTTTTTTTCTTTTTTCCACTGCAAATACTAAGAATTATTTAAAAATAGACTTAAGAAAGAACAGTGTCATTAGAAAACCAAGAAAGTTACAGTACCTCTATGGCTGGTCATTGAAGAGCCAGATGTTGCGGAGTGCGTGCTATACACTGTATTCACATTATTAAACAGGCACAACAGAACTAATCCAGTTAGTAATAAAGAGTAATATTTTATCGTCCAGCTGAAAGAAAAAGTAGTTATTTCTAAAGGTGCTTTCTTGTAGCTTCTGCGCTACTGAACTCATGTAACTGGGTTAATGAGTAAAACTCGGTAAATGCATCAATTAACACAATATACATGTCAATCCATACACAATATACAGTACAGAAAGCTACAAACCGCTCCCACTCCTTGATGTTATATGAGAATGAGTTTTAAATAAATCCAAAAAGACAAATCATTTTTAAAAAATAATGTGAAAGTGTTTAAACCTGTTACTTAAATCTCTCAAAAAGTATTACAACTTAATATCACCTTTCAAACCCATAATATTTTCTTATGCTATTGTTAGCAAATAAACCCAATTGTGGGAACAGACATTTCGTCTTTAAACAAGAGATAACGTTAATTATTCCAAATTGTCACAGTTAATACTTCAGTGTAGTACTTCTCGGCAGTGAAAGCAAGACATCGAGGTTTCGAGATGAGATGGAAGGAATGTAACAAGGGGCATTTCTTTACAAGGAGAAGCTAGTAGTGATCTGGAACTAAGTTCCCAGAGACTTATTGATGAATCCGACACTCGGGAATTCTTTTAAAAAAGACGCCTGGAGGCTTGTCAGCAACTTCAGCAACAGATGGTGCTGTATTGGCTCAAATCTTCGGATAATATTTTGTTACAAACTTGTGTTTCTCGGGGCAGCGCTCCAAATTAGTCTCGTTTAACTGTGTTGTTCTTTTGAAGGCATCCTATAACAAATACTAAAGCTAATAATGTGCACTGTGCATTGTCCAGTTTTGCAAATACTCCGGAAGTCCTGTCGCCTTGACAACAGCCAAACTCTACGTCAGATCACACTGCGGGCTATTCGTCTTTATGTCTCAGGACATTCTACCACAGTGTTGAAAGAGAATATGAGCAGTCCCGTTCAAACAACTGCCTAATCCTGCACAGAATTCCGCAGTGATATTGCATTTTCTCTGAATGTGATTTCCCAACATCCTGTATCCCCCGAATTTAAATATCTGGCAAAACCATTATGCGGATTTCTACACCCATACTTAACGCGAGTATTAGGAAAGTATTGTTGCGCAGGAAACGTATTCAATATCCCTGGGCAAATTCCAATTAAACCAATAATTTAATGGTATGTATCATTACAATAGTATGGATTTATCGTTGGTACCGGTATATTAAGTACGCAGAACTGTGACGTACGTTAATGTAGTTCAACAACACGTTATGGCATAATTCAGCAAACAACAGTCGCGGAAGAGTTTGCTACTATCAGATCTATACTGAAACACAACTGTTGACCGAATAGCATCTAACATCTTTTTTATTGTATCACTTACTAGCCGACATAAAAACGCGTACAGTAGGTATACCGTGATAGTTTCTATCACAAACATGATTTTTTTTTATTTCTACCATAGCAAGTATATAATAACTACTAGCTAATGTGTCAGGAGTTTAAGAGTGATGTGTGCTGCCATTACATAGCCAACGGAAGCACAGTACTGTAGAAAAATATGGGGCATATCAGTAATGTTGAGCGATATCACACGTCTCGACCTGTAACCGTGTTATAGCTATGGCGCTGCAGTTTTCTGCATCGCTCTACCTCTCTCGACACACGGACCACACCCTTTTATTTTCAGTACGCGTTTCTTCTGCAGAAATTTTCACCAAATGCTCTTCTTAAGAATTTTAAAAATACACCCCACAAACAGTCAGTGACCCAGTTTTTGCAGCTTCAACCGCAAGGAAACGATACATATCCTGTCTTCGGCTCACAGAAATGAAACACACTGATTTGAGTTTACCCAAACATCTCATCCTGTAGTTTCGTTCTAACTGTGGCTGGCATGGCATGGGCGTGATGAGTTCTTTTAACAACTTTTATATTAACCATCGTTTCATGTTGACATACTGTTCTCTGCAACTTGGACACTGTTGTTTTCAAATTACACTGCACCTAGCCGTTGTCAGCCTACAATTAACTGAAAACATTTTATAGACGTGTTTCATATTGCGAAGTTCAAATCATATCTCTACTCTTATCACTCATTTAATGCAAATTATTGTTTTTTTTATTTTTAAACTGCCCCACAGAACTTTATTTACTTATTAAACATCTGGAAAAATTGCACCAACCAACACAGTCAATTCACACAGTCCGCCCTGGAAAATTCAATAACATACACTATGAGCAGTTTTTTTTTTCTGAAAAAAGATAAATAACTGATACTTACATGCATATGGTGCACTAATACACATAATTTAATCTAGAGGAATGAGGGGTGTAGTTTGTGTACTAACCATGCCTGAAACGATCTGACACACAAACAATATAAAACAGTCAGGAATATATAACAAAAACGGCCAAAAGTCTAAATTAAGACTGAAATGGTAATAAAAAGCCACAAACATTCAAAGTATAACGTTCATTCTTTTCTATAAAATATTCCTTGATTTCATGTTGAAAAACGGTTGTTACCACTAGTGGGCGCCACCGTCAACATCCAATATTCCCGATTAGCAGAAGCAGATACATAAACTTTTTCATAGTTTCCCTTATTTGGTGAAGAGATTTTAATTAGATTACATGACTGATGCATTAAAATCATGTTATGCGCGGAGGATACAAGACACCTGTAAATGCACTCCACTTCAACAGCAACTAATAATAATGACATTACGACCAGATAAACAATTGTGCACATGGAATATTTTAATACATCTATATTGCAACCTACGGTGCAATTGATATGGCAATGCACCATATCATGCAAATTTGTATAAGCGCACTGTCATTTGTAGCTGACATTTTTCTATTTAGCTTTCATGAGCACATTTAATCGTCATAAAACAAAGATTGCACACAAAGCATCAGCTTTTCACAAATCAACTGCTTCCAAAACTCCAAAGATAAAAATCAAATAGGGAATAATTACTCTTTACAAACAACGACAAATCACAACACCAGATTAATAAGACCCTACAATTTAAAATATAAGCCCTTCCATTTTGACCGATATAACTATTTGATTGTTTTGGCAATTTATCAATCAGTCCCATATAATTACTCATAAACAGATTTCTGACAATGGCAGAACGTAAAAGAATTGCTAATCATTAGACTTGTGATGCGCCGTTACTTACGATAGCCGCTGTAAGACGTAAGACAAGCAGTTCCCAAAATGTGAATTTAAAATTAAAGCGCAACGTTGACAAGCCCGCTACTAAATATGTGGTTAAAAGCTGCAAAACTTACTCTTTTTAGCTTTGTATTCGATTGGTTCAGCGACCGGAGGCACACCGAACAATCTCTTTCAGGTTTGCGTTAAAAGTTGCTCTGTGTTATAGCACGAAATGTTCTTCCCTCCCCAAGTGCTTCTCTTGGGGAAATGAGTTCGTATTCCTCGACAGACGGGAGAACAGAAGTGACACCCTCTCGTTAACTCTCTCCCTCTCTCTCTCTCGCTCTCTCTCCCCTTTGCGTCCTATTTAAAATCCTTAATTGGTAAAATATCAAATGTGAACAGGGCTTTTTGAGTGTGTGTGTTCTGCAAAGCTGACGCGTGAGTGGAACCCCGCCTTTGGATTTTAAAGGTATGATGTCACCCCGTTCGGCTCTCATATACAACTTTAAATCCATTCTAGCCCTGTGGGATGTCAGAAAGCATTGTGTGAGTGTTTTACTGCATTAAAGAAGGGCACTCCTTGGTCAACTTGAACTCCCTCTCTCTAGCTTAGAAGTGAGCTCAGGCATTTGGTCATCCGCCACGTAGGTGTTGCAAGAGCATGCAGAATTGCAGACTGCCCCGGGGTGAGAGAGTATGTTAGAGAAGTTTGTGGGCTGAAGTTTGTATACTGCATCGTAAGTTTGTATACTGCATGAGTAGCTCATGTTGGAATAAAATGTGTGTGTGGGGGGGGGAAGACAGACAGAAAGAAAAACTCTTTGAAGAAAGATACTTTAGAAATTAAGAGAAATGGTGGCATAGTGGCACAGTGGTTAGCATTACTGCTTTGCAGTGCTGGTGCCCTGGGTTTAATTCCAGACCTGAGGTGCAATCTGTGTGGAGTTTGTATGTTCTTCCCGTGTTCATGTGGGGTTTTACTCCGTGTTCTGGTTTCCTCCCACAGTCCAGTGGTGTGTGTTTGTGTCTGTCTATGTGTGCCCTGCAATTGGACTGATGTCCAGTTCAAGATGTATACCTGCCTTTTACCCATTGCTTGTCAGAAAAGACACCTGCTCCCTTGTGACCCTGAACTGGATGTAACAGTTAGAACTTGGTATATTTTGGATGGCTGGATTAAGGGAAATTTTAGGTGAGAATCCTAATTAGTCATAGCCATATCTCCCTGCAACCCACTGAAGCTCAGCAGGTGTGAGCCTGGTCAGTACCTGGATGGGAGACCTCCTGGGAAAGCTAAGGTTGCTGCTGGAAGAGGTGTTAGTGGGGCCAGCAGGGGGCGCTTACCCTGTGGTCTATGTGGGTCCTAATCCCCCAGTATAGTGACAGGGACACTACACTATAAAAAGGCGCCGTCGTTGAGCCAAGACGTTAAACCGAGGTCCTGGCTCTCGGTGGTCATTAAAAATCCCAGGGTGTTTCTCGAAAAGATTAGGGGTGTAACCCCGGTGTCCTGGCCAAATTTCCCATTGGCCCTTACCAATCATGGCCCTCCTAATAATCCCCATCTGTGAATTGGCTTCATTACTCTTCTCCTCCCCACTAATAGCTGATGTGTGGTGAGTGTTCTGGTGCACTATGGCTGCCGTCGCATCATCCAGGTGGGGCTGCACACTGGTGGTGGTGGAGGGGAGTCCCCATTACCTGTAAAGCGCTTTGAGTGGAGTGGCCAGAAAAGCGCTATGTAAGTGTAAGGAATTATTCATTATTATCATTCATTGTGGCTGCATACAGTACACACTCTAACACCGAAAGGTGTTCCTCGTTCAACAGGTGAGTAGTTTTGCAATGCACTATGGGTCGCAGATCTGTGGGAGTCAGTGGAATCCTCTCTTTCAAAGGGCCAGGACAGTCTGCAACTCAGATTAAGTGACAGCAGAGAATCTGAAGTATCTCTGTAAAGTAATGCAGGAGCTAGCTTGTGTACCATTCTGTTGCGGTTGTATGCAACACAATATTACTGACCCTGAGCAACAGACATGTCTGTTTTCTGACTGCAGGGGAAAGGAGATCTGCACAGGAAGCATGACTGTCAGAGCGAAAGGAGGCAGAATGAGGTTCTGTTACACCAACTCTACTGCTAACCAACCTGCTGCCGCCAAAATATTTGTATGGTGACAGTGCCCACTCCTTCCAGACATAGTGCATAGGACCTTGTTACTGTATGTACATGCCAGTTGATTAAAATATAAAAAATAAGAAAGTTAGGAAATGATTATCCATAACACTTTTCTGCTTCATTGTCTGGAATATTCTGTAAATTGATTTACCGTTCCTGCCTTATGTTGTGACACAGATAGTGTTTTTTTCCGGCACTCAACTAAAAACCTTTCTCATCAAATTGATCTCCCCTTTAGTCCTCATACTCTGGGAATACTCTGTCACACAACACTATACTTCAAAGCTTGGCTACATCAAATTACAAGGTGTACTTAAGTATGACTTGCCAATGTTACTTAAATTAACTTTAAGAGAAAAAAAATGTTACCTGCAGAAATTCATTTACTTTATTTTTTTAGTTTTTTGTTTGTTTATCACATTTTAAATCAATAAGCATTATGATTCCGGAATACCTTAAAATATATACAGTAAGTTGACCTTGACAGCCTGATGTTAACCAAAATGTCAAACAATGCAAATTTCTGCAACTTTGCTTAGATAGTCACATCATGTCAGGCAACTTTATGGTATTATTTTTTTCCCTGGGTGACAATTACATTTTTGTGCTGAAAACATGCACTACTGTATATAAAAATCAGTCAATCATATAGCAGTCTTAATGTTCATATCAATAGCCGACATCAATAACTGGTTGCATCTACTGCATAATATTATTTTTTAAAACAGTGTGAACATGGGAAAGGTGTATAGAATGAGCATTATTGTTCCATGGATAAATTATGAGCATGAATCATGGGATTTTATAAAAACACTAGAAATGAGTTGATGAAGAAACTGTATTAATAGTTATTCAATAGGTATGATTTTAATTATCAAAATAAAAATAACATGAAATATACAAGTGTACCCTGCTTGGGCAGTAAAGACTGTGTGGATGCTATTAGAATAACTGAATTAGTCTGTCTTTGAGAGCAACTCAACCAGCAGACTAGTCCAGAGACACCAGGGAACTGGCCGTGTGAGAGACAGACCATGTCCTGGAAAACAGAGGGTCACCATACCTACCCAGAACCATTACACTCATCTCATCCTCCTGCATAATACTTTTGAGACTGCATTGGATACAGAAGATATTCCAGGAAGAAATAAATAAAGAATCAGCTGAATGATTGTAGCTTTCCATATTCACGAAAATAATCGGTCTACTTGGCCATTCATGGGTAGTACATTGAGAAATTAAAATGTCATCTTCTGTGTACCAAAGAATGTCAGCGTTGGCTGCAGAGAGAGTGGAGGTGCTGATGTTTTGTTCACAGATTAACTCTGTTTAACCCTTCACAGATCTGACAGAAGATAATGCATAATGATGGAAGTGTGAAGATATAGAAGGAAATCTGTAAAACAAGATTTGTGTCAATGATACAAAGTTAAGCCAACAAATAATTTATTCCTGCATGCAAATCTGCAAGTGTCCATTTTTCAGCAGGATGTTGCAAAACCATAGACTAATAGAGTTATAATTTGAAGGAATCTCTGTCAAAGTCGTATAGTGACCATTATTTTCTCCTGTCTTGATACCAACAGAACTTTCACTTTCATTTAATCAACATGAGACAACTGTGAATGACAAACATTTTCCAGCTAGCTGCAGTTGCACAGGAAGAGTGACAGAAAAGTGGGCAGCAGTGTGCTTTAAACAGACTTTAGACTACTTTAGTACTAAGGCTCTGACTTACCAGAATTAAGTGATTTTCTAAAAATGGATGGATATATAGGAATTATGTTATCCCAGTGGTTCTGATCACAATGTCCAGTTCATTCGTATTCTAAGAAATAGAATGCATTGTATTTTCTGTTGTGTTCAGGAATTTCCCCAAAATTTGTATGTGATTCACAGTAGTGAGATGGGTCGATAGCTCTTAAGATAATCTAATGGTTATTAGATTTCAGGATAGAAGTGAAAGCTTTTCTCCCGATCTTTGTGAGTCTGTTACATTCTGGTCAGTATTGAGAATATCTTATTGAACCGGGTGTCTCCACAAGTACAAAAGGAAGGCATATAGAAAGTACAGGTGTTGAGGAATTCTCCATTTCTGTGTGGTGTATACTATGTAACTACATGGAATGTTACAATATTTATAAAAGAAGGTCAAAATGCTTGAAAGACCAGGCATTACAGGGTGCTTATGAATGTGCATTGAGGTCACAATAAAGAAAACACATACTGTATGATGGATAGCTATATGAAGATCAGAAGGGGCTAGGCTAGGATAAATATCTATGGTTCTAAAATAGCAGGTTAAAGTCAAAGAGATAGCAGAAGTCTCTTCAGTTTAGACTGAAACAAAGCAAAGGTAGGGTACACCCACAGGATTGTATGGAAAAATGCTGTATTACGTTTATATATTAGCCACAAACCTGCAAACATATATTTTATTAAATTATTGCCATTTAATAAATCAAATGTCAATAATACTTCTGAATTGTGCCTTTCAATTTGTTTCATTACAATGAGTAAGTAAACTATATTAGGAACAAGTAAAAGGTTTATTCCATGCTGAAAAGAAAAGAAAGGAAAGGCAATGTTTTGGCTGTGGATTCTATTGTTTACATTATTTTATTATATTTATATTTCAGCATCAGCATCAGCTTGTTGGGAAAGAGGAAAAATAAGGACTGGGAAACAAAGCAATTTACTAAATGTGCTCCAAGGCTCTAAATGAAAGGTACTGTATGCACATGGTGAATATAAATTGTATCACTATCAAATAGTTGGACCATAACTGAATTAAATAGAGATATTCATTTAAATAAAATGGTGTCCAAAAACCATTTTGAAATTTAAGTTTCATTTTCATTTCCTTCATAAATCATGCAGCACATATTTAAAATAATAAACAAAATGAAAACCATACACAAAACAATGAGTCATAACAAAAAGATTTATTTTTCTTCCGTTTTTTTCATTATACAAAAATAATGCATTTAGGATTATAAATCAAGCTTATTTGAGATAATACAACTTAAAACACTAAGAACTGAGATAAAGCCATTAAGGTAGAAATAATTCAGTGAGTATTAGACATCAGATCTTGGATGGAAAATATTCAGTTTTTGAGTTTTCCTTTTAAGCGACAATTAGAAAGTCTCTGATCTAGTACTAGATTCGTTCTCTTTCTCTCACTCTGTGATGTGCAAGCCACACTCATCTGGGTTCTTCATGTGATACTGAGCTCCACACACACAAAAAAACTGGGTGTGGACCCTGGATTTTGCAGATACTTTTTACAAGTCATATTTTCATACGTAAATGCTGTGACAAACCTGATGTGTTGAACTTGTGGAAATTAACCCATGGCCCTGATAGGGCTGGAGCTACTGTATGTGTACACTGCGCACCTAATTTGTTTGAGAATTACATCTCAGGGGATACTGCAAAAACACTGTCTGGCAACTAGATTACAGCATTTTGCTCTCTTGCATGCTTAGCTTGTAAGTTGGTAAGTGATAAAAAGTTTCCCCTCATCGCTTTGGTTTTAGCAAAGCAAAAGCTGAGAGATACGCATGTGAGCTGTAAAAGAGCTGCATACTCCACCCTTCCTCTAAACACAAAGCAACACTATCTAATATTAGGCTCATAGCTGCTCCCTCCTCATCTCATTCGGACTTGCATTCATGTCCTGCTTTGTGCTACTGTACATCTAAAATAATTTGAGGCACACCCAATTTCCCCTCAAAAGAAATTTAATTGCCACTGCTTGCTTTGAACCTTATTTGAAAATGGGGTTCCATTAAAATTTGTCTCCTTCTCCATATTATACCAATCTCATTGATGATCTGTTAACAGAACAGAAAGTAGAATACAAATAACTAGGCTGCAAAAAATACTTATAGAAATAATTTAACCAATATTCCCACTAAGGTCTTATTTGTAAAATCTAAAAACATTAAGCATCTAGATTTTTTTACCTTGATATAAAAATAATGAGTTATTTTAGTGAGTTATCAAAGGACTACAGAAGACAATCCTTAAATCCTTCTTATTCTATTTCTTACTCATTCACTGCCCTTGCTACTTGCGCTGTTCTGTACTGTGGCTTGGAAATATTTTAAGTCATTTGAAGGAACAATCGGGACTAGCACTGTATAAAAGCAAGAACGTACAACAAGACAGTTTAGGTATGATAACTGGTGATATAACATGATAAATTTGCCTCTGCAATGCTTTTTTTTTAATGACATAATTATAAAGATAAAGATGCAGTTTGAGAAGGTTACTCCACTAGTGGCTGAATTCAAAGTGAAAAGAAAATGAATTAGTCAAATCGAATTGACTGGCCTGAGCACGGAAGTCTACATTATCAGCTTAGGGGATTTCTGCTGCACTCTTCTCTAGCTGTTAAAGAGGTCCTCGAAGGATGCCCAGTCCAGTTGGTCAGCAGTCCACCAAAAGATCAGGACCCCCAAGGCTATCACCAGAGAGATCCTTAGCAATGTCCACAGCACACTGGGAGACTGAAAGAGAGCAAAAGAGATAACACAGTACTGCGAGGATATAGCTAAAACCATCAATATAGTTAAGGTGCATTTTTCTTTGACAATCTGAAGGAATTTAATCTTTTGAGAATTAAAATGCAGAAGACTTGAGAGAGTTTTCACTTATGTGTTAGTAATTCAAAAAAAAGATTCAAATACAAATGTTGAACTCAATCCAGCAAGTTTGGTTGCTAGTAACTAAAAGGTATACAATAAAAAATATTATGAAAAACTAGTATTAGTTTACCTGTCAAATGTCGTAAGTGTTAAGAATGAAAAACTATTAAAAAAGCAGAATAATATGAACATTTAGCTGCCACATTCTTTCACGATTACAATCATAATATGAATTACAGATATGTAGTGTAGACTTTACTCTGACAGCTAATTTGTTTGAGAATTACATCTCAGGGGATATTGTAGTAATCCTCATGATTCTCTACCCTGGTCCAGCTGAGCTTTGACAGTAATAAATTAAACTAATTAATTAGGATCCAGAACGACCTGTACAGACAAAGTTAATACTCAAAATCAAAATCATGTTTGTACAATATATTTCAAATTTCTGTATCAGTCCGAATCACACTGTAACAATTAAGTTTATAGAATTGTCTATATCTAAGTTTAAAGACAGATTAGTTCTTCATGCAATAACTAGCATACTAACAGAATTGCGCTGTTCAGATCAGTTTAATGTCATATGCACAAGTCCAATGAAATGCTTATTTGCCTGTGTGCTCCGATAAGAAGACATTAAGGGAGCAGCAGTAGTTTGTAGTTTGTGCTGTCAAAATTAAAGTTTCTTTAATAAAACCCAAGATTAATGTTTGCCAGCTTGATCCATCCTGTCTGCCAGTCTTTCAATTTTATGTCATTACCTGGTGTTGACTAATGTTTAGAGCTGAGGGACTGGGAGGAACACATGGAGCTAGTGGTTACGGTCAAAGGACAGGAAGAGAGAGTGAGGGAGGCACTGAGGTCTAGTGGTGAGAGATTGAGAGGTTTGCAGTAACCACTTCTGTTAGAGAGATTGTGAGGGAGTATGACAGGGAAGCACTGTGTCCTTAACGGATAAGGATGTGGATGTGTACATATGTTTTTTGATGGGTTTGGTAGGGGGTGGGGGTTCATTAAAATACACAAATAATTAAGTAAGAGGGGGAGGGGAGTAAAAACAAAATTCTGTAGAGATAACAAGACAGAAACGCTCATGGAAAGGAAGGAGCCTGTTATAGCGATTCCTGTGTTACTTGTGCAGGAAACAGACAGTGTGAATCATTATAGGAGAGGTCCTTTATACTGTATCAGCCTTGTGAAAGAAAGACAGAAAGGAACTAAGAATGTGATCGGAACCCAGCTTCATTCTCTCGAGGGAGTGCTTGGGTTTGGGGTCATGCAGTAACTAAAACCAGCTCTGTGTGTGTTTGTGTCGTGCAGAACTGGCTCACGCTGGATACACGAATGGAGAACATGTGCAAGAAAAGTGCTAGAATTAAACTATCCAAGAGAATGGCACAAACCTTTGAGGATTTCTTCAGGTCTAGGCTGTCTGTCAACAGGATGGCCTGCTAACAGATTTATAGCTCTTTGTCCTGTTCTAACTGAGGGCTTAGACATGTAAAAACAGAATAAAACTTTGCATATATAGTAAAAAGATCAAGAGAGGTTTTACCCTTTAAAAATAGATTTGTGATACATGCAATGCAGGTATAATTATCTCTTGCCTAGTGGAAAAATATAAAAAAATATCAATAGCAGATAGATTAAAGGAGTAAATTATACCAGTGACAAAGCTGTTATAATTCTTTTTATTTCTTGTGTATTTTATCATATTTGTTTTCTATAACTATACACAAAATTCCTCGATTATTTTAGTGAATAACTCCTTGCAAATTTGTATCCCACAGGACTCCATCAAGGATTGATTTTTCATAATGCTTTAAAATCCTATATTAGTATGTTGGTCTTGTATCGGGAGGCAAAAAGACTTTATTGCAAATGCTAACATTGAATTTAGTTGGCACAGCAAATATTATTCAAAATGGAAATAGAAACAAACTCTCACAGAACACATTCAATAGGGTAGTTAACAATAAGTGTAACAGCTTGTGAAAAGGTGATTTCAAACAAGCAAATGTCAATTAGTGATCATTGTGAAAGCCTGCACTGAATGTGCAAAAACCTCAAGGTCAAAACTCATCAGACACTGACAGTCACTCCCCGATCTGTGGCCAGGGCGTGGCTCTCTGCTGCACACTAGATGAAGAGGAAGTGATACTGTATGTTGTGCGCAGCGCTTGCGTAAAAAATGACCAGTTGAAGCTTTTTTACAGAAGGGCTGTTTGAATGACCAGAAGCTGATTCATTGCAAGGCTAAGTATTTCTCCATGAATTGAATTCTGTCCTAAACCTCCATCCCATTCTTTTAGCTCCAGGAACAAGGCCGCACTGTCTTCCAGTTCTCCACACCATTCTGCAGTCCCTCTCTCCCAGCCCTGGCTATTAGCTCACTCTTTCCCAGTCCCTGAGCTTGCTCTAGCCTTGAGACCTTGCTGCTTCTCCCTACATCTATCCCCCTAGCCCCCCCCCGTCCCCTTACTGGATGAGGTAGGAGGAAATCAGCCTCAGGAATTTCAGCACCAGTCCTTTCCAACCTGCTTGTTTTAATCATCGTCATCAGAGTACTGGGAGCTCTCCGCTTCACTCCCAAAAGCCCATTACTCAGAAGGATGGCAGAGTGCTGGGAGGCAGCCAACAAGCAGACTGTTTTACATCGCAAAGATGTGTCAGGCCGAGTCCAATGTTCTGTTTTATTAAGATATCTAGGAGAAATTTCCTAAATAGGATTGAAGTAGCAATCCTAGAGAGCTAGGGAGAGAAAAACAGTAGCGAGAGGGATGGATGAGTGTTGGGTGTGGGGTGGCTGTCAGCAGTAAAGTTGTAAAAATGTAAAAGGCCTCAAATCTTGCACTGTGAAGAATTAAAGGCCTTGAATGTTAATATCCAAAAACAAAAATTTAATGAAAGGTCTGCAAAGAAATGCTTTCAATGTTCTGTAACTGATAGCCTTAATAACCCTTATTCAGATACAATAAATCAATCAACTTTCCAGCTATGTCTTTTGTAGTTTATTTGCTTCAAAGATCTTTATTGGCCTGGCAGAGGTCAGGCAAAGTCCCATGTACTGCTGGTAAAGCAGTCCACCTACAGCATGTGATAAGGAAAATGTCAATATTTATATAGGTTCACTGAAGCATTTATCTGATGAAGCTATGTGATGAAATGGAGGTCAGCAGCATGGTTGTGTGAAGGTGTGAAAGTAACTATTCCATTAAAAATAAACTGAAGTATAACCAGTTTATTTACATTGCAGTGTTAATTTTTTAAATCACCTACTACTGTCTACCACGAAAGGAATTTTAAAAAAGAAACTTGAATATTTTCTGGTCTCAAAGAAAAGTAAGAGACTCAGATGAGATTATGAGGGGATTTCACTAAAGTAAGCAAAGCCCTGAAATGTGGGGTGAAAGTAAAACTGAAGGGCTCTGAGCTCTGAAGACCCAAGGCCAGAAGTGTAAATTAAAGAACTGCTAATTTTTAAATTTAAAGTTAATTGACATTCAAAAAGGGTTGAAGATCCCTTTATCTCAGGGATCTTCAGGAGCCCTGGCTTTGGAGAGCTACAACACAGTCAGTCTTACTCTTATCCTAGCGTTAATCCATTTGGTGGATTGAACCAAATCTTTGAGCTGACTTTGTCATTAAATGCGACCGAGAAATACTCCAATCAGCACATCGCTCTGCCTGCCGTCGGAGGGGGGGGAGGAGAACAAAGTAATGTAGCCAATTCATAGAATATTAATAATATTCATAATATTAAGAGGCATGGGAAATTTGGCCAGAATGCCGGGGTTACACCCCTACTCTTTTTGAAAAACACCCTGGGATTTTTAATGACCACAGAGAGTCAGGACCTCGGTTTTACGTCTCATCCGAAAGACAGCACTTGTTTTACAGTATAGTGTCCCCATCACTATACTGGGGCATTAGGACCCACATGGACTGGAGGGTGAGCGCCCCCTGTTGGCCTCACTAACACCTCTTCCAGCAGCAACCTTCGTTTTTCCCAGGAGGTCTCCCATCCAGGTACTGACTAGGCTTACACCTGCTTAGCTTCAGTGGGTTGCCAATTGTAAATTGCAGGGTGACATGGCTGCTGGCATACAGTCAGTCTTACTGGTCACCTGGTATTTCGAGATTAGGAAAACACAAATGTTTTTGACCAATTAAGTAAGTCCTGTAACTCAATCAATAAAAGGGAACTTTGGTCCCTGTAGGCTGAAGGGTCATTTGGTCTTTGTACCAGATGGTCTATAAACTTCCTAATTGCCCAGCCATCTACATTGGGGAAACAGGAAGGAGATTTGGAGACCGCTTTAGAGAACATGTTAGGGCTGTCAAGATTAAAGATTTCTCCAAGCCCGTAGTTTCTCATTTCACCTCTGACGGCCATGATCACACTGATCTCTCTGCCTGCAGTCTCAAAGTAGGGTTTCTTAACTCCTATAGCAGAAAGACATCAGAAACTAAAATTATCCTGAAACTCGATTCACACCTTCTCCCTTCTCTCAACGACAGACTTGTTTTCGTCTTATTCTCTCTATTCATTTGTAGGTTTCGATTCACACCTCTCCTCACATCTCTCAACCTCGCACCACTTGATTGGCCACTCTGCCTCGCCGCTGCTCCTGCCTCCACCTCTCTCCTGGCTTTTGTTTTTCCATGCTATATTATCTTTGCTGAGTGCCCTACCTTTCTTACACCCGAAGAAGGCTCCACAGCTGAAACGATGTGTATCCTTTCTTCTCTTTTCAGCATGGAATAAACCTATGACTTGTTCCTAAACTGATTAAACTTAAAGTAGTTAAATATATTGACCAGGTGATAAGCATTACCTAATTGTTAATTAAATATTTTTT